GAAGAAGTGACAGACACAAGAAAACACACACGCCTTTAATTACAGCCTAGCCTAAGGATTTACACCTCTTTCTGGACGGCATTACAAACAATAGTGTTGTCTGTGGGTTCAGAATTTGCTGTAGGTGTATATGATGGCCTGGATGAGTGTGAGATTTCCCGGCCTGAATTGTTTCCTCGTCCGCCCTGCTATAGGCCATTACACATTTTAAATATTTGCAAACACCTTTGCCATAATATTAATTCCTGATAGATTGTTGCGTGTTACATATAGAATTGTGTGTTGTGTTTTGCAAAAAGTCAAAGTCTTGAGAATTAGTGTAAGGTTTTGTAGATTTGGTGTGAGCTTCTGCTGTTTGAGTGTCAGCTTTCAGAAACTGTGTGACAAGTGAAGATTCTGTGTGTAAGCAGATGAAAAAACTATAAATGACAGCACATGTGAACCTACAAAAAGCAAATACTCCAGAAGTGTGAAGCGGCGCTATGCAATGCATGCACCAGCAGCAGAGCGGGATCAGATGATGAATGTGTGTGCGCTTGATGTGAAGTCAAACAGAGAAAGGTGCTTGATCCATTCAGATATGGCACAGAATTGTGTTACACAGTGGTGTGACTGTGATATGAGAACAGTAAAGGTTGTGTACTGATGCCGGCTGAAAACAGCCACGACAAGCTAAACTGCATGATGAGGTCAACTGGAAAACGCCAATAGCCTACATAATTACAAGCTTGTTAATTCAGCACCATAGTAATTTAACTTGCAGTTATTAAACCTGGTGTTTTGGCTGAATGTATTTATTATAAATGTTACTGTCATTACTTATATTAAATATTGGGGAATATTTAACTTTTATAGAAGCTGTTTTTGTAGTTTCTACATCTTTATTTTTTATTTTTTTTTATTTTTTTACAAATTTCATAATTTGTTATTACTTAATATTTATTTTTAAAAACATACAACCGTGGTCATGAGGACCATGGATTATTTGTTGACTACAATCTTACTAACAGGCTACTATCAGTTAAACTCTGGATTCTATGAACTATAGCAAATTTAATTCAGGCAAAGGATAATTTACCAGAATAGCTGTAATAGCTTCTATCTCTTTAAATGTTAGTTATAATTGACTTTAACTGAAGTAAAATGTTACTTAATAAGAGCCTGATTAAAGATAATTATTAGTGTCTTATATAATTTAGGTGTGAACTATTTACAAATGTTAAAATTCTTAAAGGGATAGTTCACCCAAAAATTTAAATTGTCATCTTTTACTCAACATCATGTCATTCCAAACCTGAATGAAGTTCTTTCTTCTGTAGAACATAAAAGAAGATCATTTAAGAAATTCAAGACATTTTTGTCCATACAGTAGAAATCAAGGATAACCAAAATGGTTTGGTAACATTCTACAAAATATCTTCTTTTGTGTTCCACAGAAGAAAGTAAGTCTTGCGTGTTTGGAATGACAGGAGAGTGAGGAAATTATGACAGAATTTAATAGCAGTACATTTTCTGCATTCTAGCTCAAAATCAATGCTTCACTGTCAAATGCCTTTCTATGTGACAAAAATGCATTATTAAGTTTGTTTCATTTGCTGTGAATTTAGTAATATCTATCATCCTGTTTTATTTATTCATTTATTTACTCCAATTTAAGACCCTATAACCCAGCACAACATTCATGAGGAACTCTAACCGCAGTCCAGCCCTGCTGATGAGATCCCCTCACAATGTAAGTGTCTAGAAAAGCACTATATAAATGTAACGATTTATCATCATCATTATTATTATTATATGCAGATTTAGTGTCCAGTGATTTGCTGAGGATGAGGATGGAGGTTCAGGCAGATGAAGCTGAATTCACTGTTTATCTGCTGACAACAACTCACTTTGGCAGTGAGGCAGTCAGAAGAGTTGCCTGTCTAAGAATAAACTGTATAATACTGGAAAAGAAATGCAAGAAAATTCCAGCTCTATTCAAACTCGAGGGCCTGTTCTGCCTGTTCTGACCAAAGCATGCATTTGTTGGACTGTCGCGTCCCTGCGAGCTGATCTAACAGCAGTCTGATAGCACTGATAATATTTTAAAAACATTTTCCTTATCTTATAAACACGTGATTTTGGGTTATTATATCAAGGATCGCTCATTAAAGGCACAATATGTACGATTTTTTAATTAAAATATCCAAAAACCACTAGAACAGTGTTATATATTTTGCTGACTTGTGTACTTACATTATCCAAAATGTTTCGAAGAATGTTTAAATCCAGAGAAATAAGCAATTTTAACTAGAAGCACAGACCGTGTCTATAGTGTCATTGTGTCGCCTGCCGATGACGTCATAACTCCTCGATTTCCGGTTTTGTTTTGTAGGAAACATGGAAACACTAAAGATGCTTTAATATGTTGTGTGTTTTAATAGACCGGTGACGACCGCACAGAGTAGCATTATAACAGAACTAAATGTATGTAGTATGATAAAACAGCACTGCTTTACCCCACATACTCACGACTGGAAGCAGCGGAAGCGCTCGACTGTGACATAATAAAAGCTCCGCTGCTTTACCCCACATACGCACGACCGGAAGCGGCGGAAGCGCTCGACTGTGACATAATAAAAGCTCCGCTGCTTTACCCCACATACGCACGACCGGAAGCGGCGGAAGCGCTCGACTGTGACATAATAAAAGCTCCGCTGCTTTACCCCACATACGCACGACCGGAAGCGGCGGAAGCGCTCGACTGTGACATAATAAAAGCTCCGCTGCTTTACCCCACATACGCACGACCGGAAGCGGCGGAAGCGCTCGACTGTGACATAATAAAAGCTCCGCTGCTTTACCCCACATACGCACGACCGGAAGCGGCGGAAGCGCTCGACTGTGACATAATAAAAGCTCCGCTGCTTTACCCCACATACGCACGACCGGAAGCGGCGGAAGCGCTCGACTGTGACATAATAAAAGCTCCGCTGCTTTACCCCACATACGCACGACCGGAAGCGGCGGAAGCGCTCGACTGTGACATAATAAAAGCTCCGCTGCTTTCCAGCCATGTGTCGCGCTCGTTCAGCGCCTCGTTTCGCTTCGACGGCTTTCAGCCTCACCCTGCTTCATTCTACTATGTTAATAAATCATTAGCTCATCCATGAACATGATTTCTGCCCGAGTCCCGTCGGATTGCATCGGCTGTGGGGATGAAGACCACAACTCCCATGATTCCTCACTCAGTCACGGTGTCATCAAACTAGCCTTTGTTTATTTTGAATATGAGCCCTCTAGCGGCGAAAATTACATATTGTGCCTTTAAAGGATGTTTGTTTTATTATACATTTTATTTTATTTTTATGTAAATTTCACATCCATAAATGCAAGTTTACAAAGGACAAACCTATTTTTATAGTGCTTGAAAAAGAGATTAAAATGTATATAGATGTGATGTCAAAATCTAAAATATTATATGCTTTTTTAAAAACATTTTCATATTTAAAACATTTACTTTATGGTGCTTACTTTTACTTACAAAGTACATTTTCTGTATTAACTCTGCATCGTAACATCCGATGGAAATGTAAAATATGTGCAGTATATTTGTTTGTAAACTGATGCATATGTACCCTCTCTCCTTTTTTTCTCTCTCTCTCTTTTGCTTTTTCTTGTTCTGTCTTGATGTCATTGACTCTGTCATTGATGCATGTGAAATGTTCTTTGTTATACAGTGGGATATGGCATTATACATGCTACTGTTGACAATAAAGCATTAAAATAAACAAAGATAAAAAGCAGTCTGATAGCATCAGTCTGGTCCAGATCCTCTCTGGAGACCTGTGCATCTGCGGAGGCTCGGGTTTCGAAGGGAATATCGCAGGAGGATTCTTGGGAAAACCCAGGAATTCACGGAGCAGAAACTCCGCGGGAAAACACCGCCTCCGCGCGCGCCACGCCCCCTGCTGCCAGCGGCGGGATTACATCACCTTCATCATCATCTTCGTCATGCGCTCGCGCTGTGATTCTGGGTCAGACTGACAGCTGCGTTCTGCTAAAAACACCTCGAGAGCGTTGCGTCGCGCTGCGCTGTTTTTAACGCGTCCTGCGTCAGATGCCCCTAAAATGCGTTTTCTGACAGCAAACAACACATTACTGTTTTAAAAACAAACAAACAAAAGACACGCACGCCTTTAGCGCTCGAGGCTCATTCCTTCAGCAGAATTACGGATCCCGAAACCTAAAATGCCAGCGCTCGCGCAAGATCGCAGGACTGTCATCAGCTGAGTTTCTTTATAACGCGGGCTGTTTCAGTAGCTCTACAGTGACGCCCCCCAGCGGCGCGTCAGACACACCGACTTCTCTCGCGAACTGAACCCTGACACTATGCACTTTATTCTGTGTTCATAACACACTCATATAACTCACTGTAGAAAGAAGACACGCTCGCTGTATTTACATTAAGAGCGGGTAAATGCTTGCATGGACTAAACATTGCTGCTGGTGTCAGATTTACTCGTATTGAAGAGATGCATGATGCGATACAGGGTTCATTCAGATTAGTGTACAGTTTACCTGAATTCACCCTATTTATGTGAAGTGAGTGGAAGTGAATGCTATAATTAACAACGACATCTATTATTATCATTATTACTATTGTTATTAATATTATTATTATTATTAGGGGTTAATTCTGTCAACCTATTATTATTATTATTGTTGTTGTTGTTGTGAATTGTTGATTATCGTGGCAATAACACATGCATTGTGTGTGTGTGGGTGTGTGTGATATTCTGTGGTGTCATGTTGAGGATGTGTGTGTGTGTTTATCCAAACTGAATTGTTTTCCGCACGTAGCCCTTCTATCTCATAACAGCATGATTTCTCGGAAATCAGCCTGCTCCAATAGTAGAGCGGCTGCTCTGTGTGCGCATGCGCGGGATGCTCACCGGGAAAAATCCCCGCCAGCGCTATATATACCGAGCGCCGCCGCCTCCTCCGTACAGTAAGCGCGAGCTGATCTAGACAGACCTTCAGCTGCACTTCTTAGAGTGGATTCACGCCTTTACAGGACTTACTCTGTTTGCAGTTTTTCTCATTTGGATACAACATTTTATTATACTGTAAGTGCCTTTGATAATATGAAACGTTTTATTGCATTGAATATTATTATTGCATTTATACTTAGAAATGCTTGGCTTCAGTTGTAGACGTGTGTTGTTTTTCTGGTTAAATAAATAATGTGATAGACTAATTCGACTGTTAGTAATGAATGCAAGTTACAGCAACACGCAGCAACAATGTTGCAAAAACAACAACAGCATCAAAAGTAACTTTTTCATTTTGCTTTGATGTGTTTTGTAGATGCATCTTTGCTTAGATGTAAAAACTAACTGAACAAACCACATGAATACATCATAAAATAAATATTTAGCAAAGACTGAGAATTTTGCACAGTGGAATTTCTCAGAGAAGAAAGACAAAGTGCCGTTTCCTGGTCATGAACTTGTCAAAGCGCCTCCCTCCAGATGCACAGCGAGTAAACCAGCTTCTGTCTGCTTCTACAGAAACATGCCTGTGTCCCGAATGCGCATGCGACCCTGGCTGGAGGGCAAAATCGACTCCAACACCATCGCTGGACTCATGTGGGTCAACAAGGTAAAGAAATATCATCATCTACTCACAACCATCCAGATAACCATCTGGAGACAGCAGCAGTGTTCTAATGGATCTGCAATGCTTTCAGGAGGAGAAGATGTTCTCCATCCCGTGGAAACACGCGGCTCGGCACGGCTGGCAGGTGGATAAAGATGCCTGTCTGTTCAAGCAGTGGGCCATTCACACAGGTGAGCGATCGCTCGAGCGCACACGTCTGAGATCACAGTCCACCACAGGTGCGCTCACACTGCTGCTTGTGTTCCTCAGGTAAATACAAGGAGGGAGAGACCCAGCCCGACCCCAAGACCTGGAAAGCCAACTTCCGCTGTGCCATGAACTCGCTCCCCGACATCGAAGAGGTGAAGGACAAGAGCATCAACAAAGGCTGCGGCGCGGTGAGAGTCTACCGCATGCTGGCCGCCATCACCAAGAAGAAAGTCAAGAGATCCAGGAGCCGCGACAGCCGCAAACGCAAGGTAAGCGTGTGCCAGCGAGTCTGCAGCGCAGGTGCTTGGATTTGGCATGCATCCAGATCGCAGCATTAAAGACGTGTGTTTGTGTGTTCAGATCAAGACGGAGGACGCCGACGTTTACAAGATGCACTCAGAAATGACCCAGGAGAACACCATCAACAGCACCGTCAATCTAAGTAAGGCTTCTCAGATTTGACTTTCTATCGGAGCTAGATGTTCACAAGAGTGTGATGCTCATCACGTGTGTCTTTTCCCCGAAGGCACCGCCAGCCCCTCCGAAGACACCCCTGCATACGAGGTGGAGATCGCCAACTGTCCTGAAGACCTGTACATCAGCAAGTTCCAGGTGTCTCCGGTGCACTCCACAGGTAACAGAGCTCTCGCCTCGCTTCCCCTGTGTCTCTATCACTGATCACTGGCTCAAACTCACCCTGTGTTTTCGCCATCTTTCCACCCGCAGACCTGGAGGAGAACGAAGCCATCATTGAGGTGAGTGTGACCTTTGCTCTTTGTGCATTGTGCTTTTTCATTGACAGGAATACCCCGTAATGAAAGAACAAGCAAAAGCCAGCGGCTTACAAGTTCTGTGTTTTGCTCTTGCAGATCTCACGGCAATTGGAACATGACAGCACGCAGTGGCTGCAGAGCAATTTCTTTACAAAGGGGTTCCTGGCCAATGAAGCAGGCACAACAGAATCTCTGAGTCCAGAGAGCCAGTGGAGCGAAAGCTCAGGTAAATGTTGCGCGAGCGCTGTAGACGAGTGTCTGGTGTCTGTTCTGAGCTGAGCAGGATCTCACGTGTGTTTCTCTGTCCTGTTGCTGCAGGAGAGGAGCTGGAGTTCCGGCTCTACACTGAACTGACCCCAGACCTGTGTGACGACTCTCTCTGCACCTACACCGAGCTAATGAACAGCAGCTCCATGCCACAGACCATGTGTCCTCTCTGAGAGCGCCGCCTCGCTCCTCGGACAATGTCTCACGCACATCTTCTCACTCATGGACAATGGACTCCGATCCACACAATGGCTCATACCTCATATGTCTCGTTCGTTCATACGTCTGGATTCTGCTGATCCTCGCGGGACAGACGGGTGCTCTTCAGAAACGCTTTCTCTCTAGGATCTTCCAGAAGTGAAACTAGACGCCGGCTCATGGCTTTCGCTCCTCTTGTGCAGCTCTGTGACCGTGTAACCTCATGCAATGTGAACTGGAGCGACTCCGTTATGTGCTCATCATGGCAGGGGTTTCCTCACCGATAGGGTATATATATATATATATATATATATATATTCATTTTACACATTTATCAGATGAGAGTTTGGGAAGGGGTTCTACACTGTACATACTGTAAATATTTATTTGTAATAAAAAACAAAATGAATTTATTTGCTGTTGTTCGTGTTATGCTTTTCTGAGAGAGAGATTTTGCCTTTGTTATTTAAATTAAACTTGTTTTATTACAAACACCATTTCTGATTTTCATTTAGTCTGAAGAGCCAAAAATGAATAAAAGAAAATATTGTTATAAAAATAGCTAGTTCAAGTCATTGCAAACACAAATTGAAAAACATACAAATAGTTACATCTAAATGAACTAGTTTATATATTATTTAACATCAGTGAATCAACCTAGATACACTGATTTATGCAAACTTAATATTTATGGGTTACATCAGGTAGAAATAACTCTTTAAGCCACTTTTTACAGTGCACACTGTAGTCTCTTTAAAGAGACAGTTCACCCAAAATAACAATCCTCTCGTCATGTGCACAGCCTCACATCAAATCACCTGCAGAACGCAAAATAAGATAGATATTTAGCTGATGTCATCACAAAGGATTCATGCAACTCTGGAGGTTTAATCTCCTGAAGTGACGGTAAGTCATGTGACACACAAGAACCAATTAGGGCTGATGTTATTGACACGTTGCCATATTGGATCCGGCCTCACCTTGTGAAAAGCAATGTGCTGAATTGTATTGCATGTGCATTTGCAATGAACTTCATATCTTTAAAGCTGATTTTTTTTTTTTACTTCTTGCAGATGATGTCATATTAATGAAATAAAAGGCCACTTAAGTTCACTCATGTACACTTAAATAGTGCACTTTTAAAGTTTTTTAAAAATGTAGTAAACTGCACATTCTTCATTGCAAACATGTAAATAGAGAGATATTTAAACACATGATATTCAAGTTTAAACAGAAATGGCATTATAGTCAAGTCAGCTTTATTTCTACAGAGCTTTATACAGTAGAGATTGAGTGGAAGCAGCTCCACAGTGATGAACAGGAGAAACCCTGATGGAAACTCAGATTGTGCTGTAAAGACAGTGGAGTCATTATTCAGATGCGTTGAGTTCAGAAGAGCAGAGTCCAGCTGGATTCAGTCCAAGAGCTTGGTCTCATCTGAGATCATCCTAATCGAGCCAAACGAGGCAGTGGTAACAAAACTCCATCAGGTGACAGAAATGGGGAAAAACCTTCGGCTTCTCCTCTGGTCTGAGTGATATTGATCATGGTTCATTAGACTGGCATGAAGTGGGAAGGAAAGAGCTGCGGTCTGTTCATCAGGATGAAATATGAAGGCAGATCAGGCAGTAAATGGCCGGCTTATCAATGACACGATGAGCACTGATAAAGCAGTCATCTAGGAGTATCTTACAGTTCACCATAAACGCTTGTCGGTACGTTCAGCAGAACTGTAACCATATTTCAAAGACAATAGAAGTAAGTATGAAATACTTCATGCTTAAGCGTGTCAACTAATTGCATTTAATATAAATTTGATTCAATTGTAAACAACACAGTTAAGGTTATATTCAGTTCACACTTAAGTATACCCAGTAACACTTTAGTTTAGGGACCGGTTCCCACTGTTAACTAGTTGTTTATCAGCATGCATATTACTGGCATATTGGCTGTTTGTTAGTACTGATAAAGCACATATTAATACATGATCATATTTTAGATGCCTTAATTCACCCCATATCTAAACTTAGCAATTACCTTACTAACCATTAATAAGCAGCAAATTCAGTTTTTTGAGGCAAAGTTCATAGTTAATAGTGAGAATGACTATTCTTATGAAGTATATTATTTCTGTAATAAGCGCTCTTTTTAAAGCATACTTAATTTTCAGAAGGGTCTGTAAAGATGAGCTGATGTGAAAGTGTTTAAGCGCTTACATTTCTCTCTGTTCGTCATGTAAAGTGATCGTATGGCTTCAGAAGGCTCAGTTGTACGATCACTTTTATACCACATTTATGTTCGTTTTGGTGCTTGAAACTTTAGACCCCACTGACTATTATGTTGTTGATTCTTCAACAAATCTTCCTTGTTCCACAGAAGAAAGAGAATCGTACGAGTTTGGAACTGATACAGAGAGTCTGCTTAATTCATTTCAACTTGATATGGAGCAAAAAATAAATACATGTAAAAAAACATTCATTGCTCTTGCTCTGACTTAGACAGTTAATAGTTGTGTTTCTGTTATAATGTAATTCAGAGAATTCCAGGCATTATTGAGTGAGGAAAGCAGTTTATTTTTCTTTGTTTAGGCAAGAGTGAGCATTAGAGCTGAAACCCTTCACACAGATAAATAAGTCAGTTTAGAGAAAAGCATCAAGGGCATCGAATGCAATCAAGAAAACACATTAAACAAGTGACGAGTGAGGAAAAGCAAAATGGCTCCAGAGCCGAGTAAACGGATATTCAGCTATTAAAACAGCGAAGCGTGGAGTTTGTTGATGAATGTGGTGGCTTGAGACTCTGGTCTTCACAGGTCTGAGGTTTCACACAGCACAGGCTCCCGGCATTAAATCTTGCTCTCTGAAACACAAAGGAGGAAAGGAAGTGTGATGAAAACATCCAGCGAGCCGTTTCCTCTAACCGACCGCCGAGGCCTTTCTCTACATGTATGCATGATATATGTTAGACGGTGTGATTTATGGACGGTCGTGTCATACATCACAGATCTGAACCTCCTCTGCTCGTTTTCTTCATGAGGAAATACATTCATTCAAATACATTAAAACTGTCACTCAGACAGTTTTAGACTCGTAAAACGGCATACCAACGACTAACCCACCTACATATCACTGATTTTATCAGCTGTTGCAAGCTAAATTTACAGCAAATACCTACACCTTACACAGTTGTTCTGCCACATGCTTTCCCACATTAGAGCCTGCTATAGAGCGCTTCATCTGTTAATGCAGGACTGCAAACCTGCTGTGCACTCACTTTCATACAGACAAGCATGTACTTCATATTGCCTATAAGTACCTGTAATCATTTATTCTGATAATATTTGAACATTTCACCAACATCACACTCTGCACCATTTTTGAAGGCCAGTTTCTAATTTCTCGCTTACTGACGCTTTGTGTGTTGAAGTAATATTCATGTCTTGTAGTTGTTAAAAGGGATAGTTCACACAAAAATCATCATTCTGTCATCATTTACTCGTCCTCATGTCCTCAAGAAGATGTTTTGAGAAACGTCTCAGTGTCTTGCTTGGAGTCCAGCGTTCTTCAAAATGTCTTCAGGAGAAAGTCACACAGATTAGAACGAGATTTAGAGTAAATGATGACAGAATTATGATTTTTGGATGAACTGTCCCATCAAAGTGTCATGAATCCAATCAGATTTGATATTTATGAATGGAACTATGAGTTACTGGCCAACCATTAGCACACACAGAAACAAAATTATTGAAATAAGTACAGTGAAATATGAAGAGACATGTACAGTCGATAAGATATCATGCGGTGAAAGTGTTATGCCTGTTACTCCATCCCTCACTGAGTGCAATGAGGACAACAGACTCACATCCATTAAACACACTCAGATGGAGAGAAATCCAGACGTGACGTTTTGTCTGCTCTAATGCACTCGCACCTCACTTGATGATGAAATCATCTACTCCCGGTTAGATGAAATATGTCCAGTTGTGACTTGAAATATAAAATATTTGAAATATAAAATAATATAACCCAAATGCTCAAAAACGACACTAGACATTTCACTTATAGATAGCTACAGACCCGTCTCTCTCCTCCCGTTCATAGCAAAATCACCTGAAAGCATTGCGTTCAACCAAGTGTCCTTCCTTTCACAGAACAGCCTGCTGGACAATAACCAATCTGGAAAAGTGGCCAATCAACTGAAACCTCCTTGCTGTCAGTCACTGAAGCGCTACGCAGTGCAAGAGCTGAGTTCAGATCTTCAGTTCTCATTCGACCGGATCTATCTGCTGCATTCGACACTGTTAATCATCAAATCCTTCTGTCCACCCTCTCATCACTGGGCTTCACCAGAACTGCACTCCACTGGTTTGAGTCTTACCTCACAGGTAGGTCCTTCAGGGTTTCTTGGGGAGAAGAGGTATCTAAAGCACACCAAATGATCACTGGGGTTCCTCAGGGATCGGTACTCGGACCGCTCCTCTTCTCCATATACACTACTTCACTGGGACACATCATTCAGGCACAATGGTCCTCATTTATAAAATGTTGTGCAGAAACCATCCTAAATGTGATCTTACAAACATCTCTCAAATATGCGTACGTGTGATTCATAAAATGAACGTATGTACAGAAAATGCACGCACGCCTCTCTTTCAGATGTGAAATCTATGAATTGCAAATGATCTTGATCTTGCGCGCAACTGAATGGTTTCAGCTCTCTGCCTTGTAAATGACTCCTAATTAATATCATTAACATGTAAAAGATCACCAGTCATCATCCAAATTCTTTAATTTAGAACAGCTAGCTGCAAGAACAGCTTACATTTCCAAAAACCTGCAGTGCTCCGACAAGAAAAAGTGAGTACGTCTGCTCAGACCCTGACGTGACGCTAAGCACTTTTCCACGTCAAAGAAAGTTTTTACAAATATGAGCGCTGGCGTGGATTTAAGCACACATACACGCTAAGATCAAATCTGAGCAATGGATGCTTTATAAATGAGGCCCATGGCACCGGCTCGGATCTCAGGCTGCCTGTCGGACATCTCAGCGTGGATGAAAGAACATCACCTGCAACTCAACCTGGCAAAGACTGAGCTCCTCGTCTTCCCTGCCAGGAATCTTGGGGTGATCCTTGATGATCAGCTGACCTTTAAAGATCATATCACATCATGCAGGTTTGCACTGCACAACATCAGGAAGATCAGACCCTTCCCAACAGAACATGCAACACAACTTCTTGTCCAGGCCTTTGTCATTTCTAGGATGGACTATTGCAAAGCTCTTCTGGCTGGACTTCCATCATCTGCAATCAGACCTCTGCAAATGATTCAAAATGCAGCAGCACGTCTTGTTTTCAGTGCGCTCAAGAGAGCCCATGTCACACCGCTTCTCATCTCTCTGCACTGGCAGACTCGCATCAAGTTCAAGTCACTGGTGCTCGCCTACAGAACAGCCACGGCCTCCTCACCCTCCCACCTCCACTCTCTTCTAAGCGTCTATATCCCCTCCAGAAGCCTGCGGTCGGTAAACAAGCGGCGGCTCATTGCCCCATTGCAGAGAGGTACAACACAAGTCTTCAAGAAACAACTGAAAACTCATCTCTTCCGTGAGCTTTTATCCTTATCCCTTCCTGTCCTTTCTTTTACTATTTGAATGTTTGAATGCTGAAATTGCTTTATGTATTCCTCAATTGTAAGTCGCTTTGAATAAAAGTGTCAGCCAAATGAATGTAAATGTAAATCTAAAAAAAAAATTTAAACATTTAATTTCAGCTAGGTGCCAAGCAACATTTCTCATTTTTCATTTAGTTTAAATGTAGTTTGATGTAGTAAAACAATTAAAACTAAAACTGAAATAAAAAAGACAAAAAAAACTATACAGACATTTAAATAAATAAATAAATAAATAAAATGACAAAAATAAAACAACAAAAATGTAAAAACATTAAATTAAATTAAATGTAAAAAAAAAATTCAAAACATCAAAAAACAACAACAACAACAACAAAACAATAGTGTGTCAATGATACTAAAATATCACTTAAACGCACTCGCTCGGGTTCTGTTGAACTGACTGGCGATTTACACTGAGAGAAAGACAAAATGACTGATTCGTCTCGATCATCTGTGTCGTTTACACGCGGCATGTGTCTGATTACATTAAAGCTCTGAGCAAACATTCACTCGAGCTGATCCGTGTTTTTGAAGCTCTTGTTATCTTGGCACTGCCTTCAGATAGTTGTTCTTTGTGCTTCTATTGAAATGCTTGTCACACCAGAAAAGTGATTAAAGCGCTGGACTCATCCAGCCAGTCGAGCAGACAAACACACACGTGACCAAAGCAGAAATACATTACGGCCGAATAACACATTATTTAAGAATTCACACAACTGAAAACATCTGGGGCACTGGAGCAGCTGCGGACGGATCTGTCCTCAGATCAGTGCTTAGTCACTGGTGGGGAGAGATATGCCAAAAACCAGACCCTCAGCCTGACCTTGACCTTGACCTTGACCTTGACCTTCACCCTGAGTCTGAGGCTGAGTCTGACCTTGACCTTCACCCTGAGTCTGAGTCTGACCTTGACCTTCACCCTGAGTCTTGAGTCTGAGTCTGACCTTGACCTTCACCCTGAGTCTGAGTCTGAGTCTGACCCTGACCTTCACCCTGAGTCTGAGTCTGACCTTGACCTTCACCCTGAGTCTGAGTCTGAGTCTGACCCTGACCTTCACCCTGAGTCTGAGTCTGACCTTGACCTTCACCCTGAGTCTGAGTCTGAGTCTGACCCTGACCTTCACCCTGAGTCTGAGTCTGACCTTGACCTTCACCCTGAGTCTGAGTCTGACATAGCAGCACCAGAGCGACCCACAAGCCACCTGTCAATCAAATAATTAAACAGGAAAAACAAACAAAAAAATGACATGCAGTGAATTTTCATTAATCTGTCAATCATGAACATGCATCAGTCAGACGAGTCTGACACCTCTGACGCTACTGTCCAAAGAATGAATTATGCATATATCTGAAGTATGCAAACATATAGCACACACTCACCAACACACACACACACACACACACACACACACACACACACACAACTTTAAAAAAATGTTGCTTAAAGAAAGTGCTGCTTAAAATTGTTATTAAAATTCATGTTTACATTCTTTTTTTGTGATATTCTTGTTAAATATTAGCCTGTTAAATCTTAAAGCAATAGTTCAGCCACAAATTAAAATGTGATGCAATCTGATACAACAACAAGAGATGCACTTTTTCACTGGAGGAAGCGTTATTATGGATTATGAACTCAATGTATTTTAGTTAAAAACGTCTTAATGCGGGATTTGTTTCAGCTTTTGTCTTCTCCAGATGTTAACTGATGGACTGGAGTGCTGTGGATTACTTGTGGATTATTGTGATGTTTTTATCAGCTGTTTGGACTCATTCTGACGGCACCCATTCACCTGAACTATTCCTGTAAATGGTCACGATTCCTTCAGCAGAGGTCAAATGTAATAAAGCATTATTAAATCCCAGTTTCCACTCTGGTTTGGCAGCAGATCTCTAGTTAGTGTACTTGAACAGGCCGCTCTATCGTGGCTCTCTCGGTGCGGCGGGAGATTTCTCTGTCCTTCCAATCGTACACATCACTGACAGAAAGAGGAACATAATCATATGGGTTTTTGACACATTCCACAAGACTGTTTGCTTCCACAATAGTCATATCCTGAGCATTCAGCATTTTTCAACTACGGGCAACACTCTTGGGAACTTTTTACCTTCATCATTTGTTTTTATGTCTTTTTCAAATGCCTTGGATTTTATTTATTCATTCGTAACATTAAAAACATAAAACCAGTGGACATTAATACACAACTGTTCAAGTTTGGGTTCAGTACAGTTAAAAACATTTTAATTAATACTTTTATTCATTAAGGACACATTAAATTGATCAAAAGTTACAGTAAAGACATTTATAAAGTTACAGTAGATTTATATTTCAAATAAATGCTGTTCTTTTGAACTTTCTGTTCATCTGTGAATCCTGAAAAA